AAAAAAAAAAAAAAAATACAGTATACTCTTTACCAGTCCTAAAAATAGCCTAATAATTTGTAATGGCATCCTATATTATACACAAGAATATATGTATTTGAGTTATTAAAGGGCCAGCGTGAATCCTAATGGGATAACCGCTCCTGTAAGACCCCAAAAGGACTTAAAAACAAATCTTTCAAGAATTTAAAATTAATATAGGTACTTCCATAATCTTTTCAGTAGGAATTGTTCCTAAATAATACAATGCAGAAATATAATACAATGCAAACAAGTACACAATACCCAATAGGACGATACTGTGGTCGCATCTAACCTGCAGCAAAAGCCCACAACACGCCTCTCGGTTCCTCCAGAATGAAACTGATGCTCACGACCACAGACCCAACTGATGCCTAATTCACAGAAAGCCATAAGACTAAGCGATAACTTGTTGCACTACACCTTCTAGCCTTCATATGTTTTATTTAAGCAAACTTACAATTTTAAGGTTCACTTCAACAATAGAAGAGTATCATTGCGCACGAATCCTGATCTAGTTTGTAAGTCACAGGATAACAAACAGTTTGTCATAAACTGTGAACTGCAGCAGCGCTTCCGTAATGTGTGTGTGCGCGTCACGTGATTTGATGACCAGCTGCGAACGTCTGGAATTCAGGGCTGCGTTCAGCCCCGACAAAAACGGTGCAAAACGTTTTTTAAACGGAAACGGTGGTGCGTTCAACACCCTGTTATGATGACGCAAGAGTTGGAACTATGGCAGCTGAGAAGGCCATTCTTTGTGTTCTTTTTGAAGAATTTTCGGAGCCTGATGAAATTGGTATAAATACATGTTTAATACTGAAAAATATGCTCGATGTTACAGTCATTGCCTTTGCCCTCCAGAATAAAAGAGAACATCCCAATCAAATGAAGGGATTTGTGGAAACTGTGGTTCCTAATTATTGTGATCCAACATTTGCCTTGCATTTCAGGATGAAAAGACAAACATTTCAGGTGAAGGATAATCCACTTCTTACCTCAGAGAGGTCATATAGATCATTTCTGTTATGATCTATATGACCTTATTATTTTTATTGTGAGTATTAGGCTTATCATTATTGCTGATCACTGTTGTTGTGCTATGATATTGTAATATTTACCATTATATAATCAGAGGGGTATAAATGTTTATGAAAGTGTCACTCCATAATACAATAGCAAAATATACGTATAGTATTTTTATGTTACATTAATCAGTATTTAGCACACCTTCCTAAGGAAAGGATATTAGGATACTCTACTGGATATACATCTATATTGGGATATTTAGACAGACTTAAAGAAGTTCCAGATCTATACTTGTGCTCTTATTATTTCAGTTGTTTTGCCTTTAATGTAAATAAGCATGTGCAAACAATATACTTGCTATTGTGAATTTATTTGGATGTTAATTACATTGTGCTAGCTGTCTCTTTAATACCGCGTGGTTTACATACATGTTGCTGCTGATTGGGCTGACGTGTTTGACACACCCACCAAACAAGAGAAAACGCATCTCAAACCCTGTTGCACACCGTTTCCAGGAAACATGTCGTTCAAACCGGAAACCGTAGCAAAACGGTGCACACCGGTTTGAGCTTGAACTTGCCCCTGAAATTCAGATCATGCACGGCGGATCTGAAGCGCGTGACTCCTTTAATACTCATTCATATAATAAACTCATTCAAACTCTTTCTTTCTTTCTTTAAAAAAAGATTTAATAGCCTAGTTTGATACTGTATCAAGGAAAGTGGAGAAAACAGTAAGTTACACATTAAAATATTAAGACTGAAATAGTATTTTTTTTGTAAAACATAATCCAATAATCTTTGTTTTATTCAGTTTTAACAGCAGCTATTTTCTACACAGATATCAAACACAAAGTAGCTTATAAAAATAAAAATATAGAAAGATGTATAAAACAAAGATGCTCCTTTGTAGGCCTATATTTTGTTCTTTCTTTTCTTTCTGTTTCTTCCTGTATGACATTTTAAATAAATATTTTGGTGCTTTGACCTTTCCTTTGTTCAGTGTATGACACACACATGTAAGAATTTAACATTGTATCAACTTTAACCCTCTATGTAATTGGCTTATGCATAGTATAAACACCATGAAATCCACCGTCTTGGTTTGAGGGGGATGGGTTCTGGCTACTCCAAATAGGGTCAAAAGTATAAACATTTTCATGCTGGGTTTGGTTACAGTATGCATGGCAAAGCAAGGGAAGTCACGCAAAGGTAGTTTGACTCTTCGCAGAGCTCCAGTCCACAGCATATACAGAGAAAGAAACGTCACACTTCATTATGTCTGTATATGAATCCATGCTGCTGATTGTCAGCTTTGATCAGATGACAAAGACCTACCTGCTTGCTTCACAAGGTTCATGCATATTCATAATTAAACCAAGGTTGCAGGTCAGTCAGGACATTTTGCACTGGCAAAACAAAACTCAAAGGGGCACCTAGAGTTTTTTTTTTTTTTAAGAAAACATGGTTATTATTATTTTTTTTTAATGCAAAATTCTCTTTTTCATGGTCTAAATATATTCTCTGGAAATAATTCTTAATGCAGTTTTGCATCTCAAATAAATTAATCTTGGTTTAAATTTTTATTTGGTTTTATATTTAACAAAGTCAAAAATTCTAAGAAAATGATTCATTATATTTTATTTATTTATTCATCATTCATTCATTTATTTGCACTGTAAATTAGTGAACGTTAGAGACTACTAAGATGACCTTGAGGTCTAAATTTCAATAAATGAACAATTCTTAATATCTAAGGGTGTAGAATTTAGCAGAGACGCTAACGTTAGTCCCTACCAGTATCCACCAACCTGAGAAGTTAATGTAAATAGCCTACGCTAGAAAACGGTTGTGGCTAGAAGGGATACAGCTCCGACCGGAAACTAACAATGAAATGTTCTAAAATGTTCAAATTTTCTACCTATTAGATTGTGTTTTATTAACGTCTACACCTACCCCAACCCTAAACCTACCCATTACAATATTGCGAAAATAGCCTTTGTTGCACTACTGTGTGTGACAAAAATTTGCCTACGCTATATTGATGTGCGCATGCTCAATAGCCACAGCTGTCTCCCTTCTAACCTTAAAGGTGCAATAGGAGATCTTGGAAAATGCTAACTTTAGCCTGATAGCACTGAAAGCGAACGTCCCACCCTCCCTGCACCCTCCCAAAGCCACGCCCCCTGAACGCATTTACACTCACAGACCAGAGACAACATTACTACAATAGGCTACATCAGGTTCCCAATTTCAGCCCATGTTCTGAAGTGAAGTAAACTTCAACGGATTTCCCCCGCTCAGGGAGTAGGGAGCAATGAACACTGTGTAGGGATCATATCGATCGGAACACAGTTCATGCACGTAGCTCACTTCTAAGGAGCTGGCGCGAGGACTAGATTAACCGCTGGGCTGATGACGTATCCTGTCTGCACGAACAGGGTGCCGCAGAGGTATGCTAATACATACCTTGACAGGCAGGTAGGAAAGCATATTAAAACGCTCGGACCGAGCGTTTTGATTGGACGAACATTTCTTGATCCTACGCCTTCCACAGAATATATAAATACAGACAAATACATTTAGACCACTTAACTTAATAATTGCTATCGGGATGTGAAGAGACAATCTTTCTGAAGACAATCACCTCTTGCACCTTTAACCATAGAAAACCGCATGCGCTTTCAATGACGCACATTTAAAATACATGGGTGGAGTGGAGTAGCAGCCGAATTGAAACAAACGTATGAGCACAGTTCAGTAGTGATGCCAAGTCTGATTCATTTCCGCGAACCGGGTCTATTGGGGCAGATCGGCTAATTGAACCGGTTCAAAAAGCTGATTCATCGGTTCCGACATCATCAAGCAGTTCTGTCCAAAAAGAACCGGTTCGCGGAAATGAATCGGACTTTGCATCACTAGTAGTGGTACTGTGTCGTGTAAACATGACTGAAGACGCGAAAAGCCCAGGAAGAGACAAACTGATTCAATTGAGTGAGTCATTTATACTGGAACCGCTCCGATTGTGACTCATTCAGTTTAAGCGATTCACTACAAAAAACAGCTTTGAAGCGCTCCAATCAGATTGATTATTGCGAATTATTTGATTCAGATCAGGATTTTGGATTGCGGATAGCGAATCATTTGATTTAGATTGCGACTTCGGAGTGCGGATCGCAAATCATTTTTAGATAGGGATTTTGAAGTTTGCGGATCATTTGATTTAGATTAGACCTTTGCGTGTCGTGAATCATTTGATTTGATTGATCGGAACTTTGGAGCGGGTTCGCGAATCATTTCGCGAATTGAATGATTCATGCTCCGAAGTGCCGATCTGAAATATATATATATATTTTTTTTTATTAAACAATACAAACATTAAGGCAGTACAATTATCAAAATCATAAAGACAAGATAAAGACAAAAACAGAAAAACAACAGAATACACACAGATTTGTTGCCAGGGTAACAACCACAAAAAAACAAGGTAATAGAATTACATCTTAAGAAGGCAAAAAGGAGGAATATAAAGATACTGTTTTCATAGCTTTCAAATTAACAGAACTTTGGATAGTTTCCACATACTTATCCAAGTCCACTTTAAATAAGGAGAAGAGAGGTTTAGAGCCAGTAAACTTTTGTTTATGTATGTGAAATTTAGCTAACAGGAAACATAAATTAATGATGTAATATTTTCCGGTGTTCTCTTTTGAATAGTCAAACAATCCAAAGAAAGCATCATTAAAACAAAAAGAGAAGTCACTTACAAAAGATTGAATAAACACTAAAAAGTCTGACCAAAATGTTTCTGTGTAGGAGCATTGCCAAAACAAATGAATGAAGTCTTCTTCAGAAGAATGACAAAAACAGCAACTCACTTCAATGTCTGACTTATATTCCATCCTATCTGAAGAAAACAAAACCCCCGGAGCAGTTCGTGCTTAGCCGTGGGTATCAAGAAGGTCATCTGCTGCACTGAGACTTTAATGGCTTCATTCAGCCTAACTGATCTTTGGCAGAAATCCTTTGACCGTCCACATATGCAAACGGCCCTCTGAAGCCTGCTCTCTTCCCCTCCTTTCTCGCTCGTTCGACAAGAGGCCAAAGTTTGTTCCTGGCGTCTTTGGCGCTTTGTGTCAGGTCTTCAAAAATCCTGATTTTCCGTTCTTTGAGGACGGCGGCGGTTCTGGCATCCCTCCAGATCTGATCTCGGACAGTTTCTCGAAAGAAACTGTACGATGATGCGGCGGCTCGAGCGCGCTCCCTCAGATCGAGGACCCAGTCTGTGGGCGACGTCAAGCGTGTAGATGAGCTGGTCTGCTATCCCAGGAGAAACTTTACCGAATAAGTCGATTAGAATCCTCCGGACATCTTCTCCTCGCTGCTCCTGAATACCGGCCACTCGTAGATTCCACCTCCTTTTGTAAGCATCCAGTTCGTCGCATTTCTCACGTAGCACACAGTTATCTTTTTCCAGTGATTCCACCCGGTTCTGTAATGAGCTCACCTTGCTTGTTACTCTTCTACTTGATTACTCATAAACTCAAGCGCCTCAGTCACACTGTTTAATGAA